CTTAGAGATCAGTTTGTAAGTGTAAGGGTAAAACCTTAGCTGCTTTGAAGTTGGTGGCAAAACTGTGTCTTATCTACAGCAGAACCAAGATTTTCTATGAATAAGTTCAAGCAGTATGTTTCACCTATACATAAACCCAGCACTGTCCTGGCACACACGTGTTTATTCTCAAAATGCTATGCCAAATGGAAAAAAGTGTTTGCTGCATTTTCAGTAACTCTTTACTTCAGATTATTTTTAAGCATTGTACAATTTGGTTTATCCCTTTCAATTCAGAGGTTACTATTTTCCAGTTTCACTGTGGATTATGTGCTCCTTACCTTTGCTGACTATAGAGCCAAATCCTAATCTAAAGAATTGTCATCATGTTGCAAGGGCAATAGCAGGAGGAGCGTTCTTGAGTTGCTTAATGACAACAGAGTGACTGGACAGCGAGCTTTGGAAGCTGTGTAGGTAGTTGGTTGTGTGTGATCTTGTTGTAGAATGTACGTCCCCCCAACATTCATGCTGTCATTTTGACAAGGCAAAATTATTGCTGTTTATAAGATTGGACTGTTTAATAGTGCCTGTGGGTTTCTTGTTCTTATTACAGTCATTTAGCCTGTGATGAAGAGAGAGTGGAGGAGGCAAAGCTGCTGGTGTCTCATGGTGCAAGTATTCACATTGAGAATAAAGAAGAACTGACGCCACTGAAAGTGGCAAAGGGTGGCCTGGGAGCCATACTTAAAAGAATGGTGGAAGGCTAGTGGAGACTTGTGGCTTGAGTCTTTCCTGTTGCATTTGTATGTAGGTCTGCAAACTTTGTATTTTGACAGTTTAACTAGGATGTTGTGTGTGGGCATCAGCATGGTAATAAAATGTGTATCTGTAGCTTTCTTTCCAGTACAGTGCCAAAACAACTGTTTGTACTTCCTGTTAATTGAACAGTTCACTGTTTTTAAAGTGTTTTTCAATATCTTGCAGTTTTGTTTCACTTTACAGTATAATCTGTATAAATGCAGATGTTCCTTTTAATTCAGAACCTAGATTAGGATTATTTTTTTTTAAGCAACAGGACCAAAAGCACTTTAACCATTTAAAGTCAGTTTTACTTTGGAAGCTTATTCTAGAGTCTGCTTTTTGCTTTAGCCTTTGTGGTTTGTGTGTGGTTTGGTTTTTGTGGGTATTGGTTCTCTTCCTTCAGATGATTCTAAACTACACCTCTCCCTTTGTAGAATGCAGTTTGCTCAGTTATTTGGATTGTATCTGTGTTTACTCTTCTCAGTCTATTCAAGTGAGCTCTGGGTGTTTAAGGTCTTTCTGTTGTTTCTTGTTTTTATTCTGTTTCTTTGAAACTTTGTGCACTGGACTGCTTGTGAAATGCAGGCACAGCTTCAGGGTTACCTCTGCAAATATATTGTCATATAATGGATGGTTCTGAATACTTCTCTGAGATGTACTTAGAATCTAATTTAGTTTTCTCTTGCTCTGTCTGTAGATTTCTTTTTCTGTTCTGTTTGACTCCCATTATGTAGCACTTATAGCAGTTTATCATCTTATTTTATAACAGAAGCTTGGTTTAACTGCTATTTACTCATAGCAAATCCTGGTATTATTAGAAGGCAGAGCTAGTGATACTGAGTCTGAAAAGTGACCTTCTCTTCTAATATTGATCAGATCACTTTTGACACGAGTGGGATAGCTTTCCTCTTTCTAAACAAACGAAGCTGATGAAATTCTGTTAAATAAAGATCTTTCTTAAACAGCTGTCTTTGGTGTTATAAAACTTTATTAAACATACATATAACAAAACCAATATTTTCTAAATAGCTTGTACACTTGGGATGCGAACAACAAGTCAGATGAAACGCTGCCATCCATTCCACAGTATGGAAATATTGTTTGTTCTTCAGCTGCAAGGAAAGGTAGAAATGGAAGATGACAGTTTCTACAGTTTGGCTTGTAGGGATTAAGGTAATGCAATTTATCTTGATAAGCAAGACAGAAACTTACAACCAAACAAATATCTTCACCAAGTACTTACACAAATTTATTCTAGAACACAAATGCAGGTTAAATCTCACCTCTTGAGAACATGAGGGGTAACTTGCCTGTACAGTAAGCGCTGACCATGCAGACCTTACTTTAAGGAGGAACCTGACTGAGTATATGTTTCTTATACGTTGTGCAGGCATTGCTGAAAACTTGAATTGAGAAAAGCTGAAGTTGGTATTCTGTGTTCATCCTTGGTGTTTGTATAGCAAAAAAAACCCTGCCATAGCTCTATGGCTTTGTAGATCCACTTCCCTAGGAGATAGTGGCTTGAATGTTGGCTTAATATCTAGTTTCCATATTAATGATCCCTACTCCCTCAGGAGCAGATAAATGGGCCATGCAGCAAAGAGTGTTGGAACATCTGAGGCAAATTCTAAAAAATACTTCTCCATCCTACATACCTCTGCAGGGTTTTTGAGCTACACACCAGGGATCAGTGCCTAATTTAGCTTGTGCTTTGCCAAGAGCACCAGTGGAAAGCTAGGAAAGTGCCTCATCCTTTTTCATAAACTATTTCACATGAGAGAAATTTCATAATGAGAACAAACTTCTGCCAGAAGGCTTACAAAAATATCTCAATGTATTAAGAAAGTCCAAATAAATGTTACTTTTCTTACCTTCCTCCTCACCTCCAGCAATTAGTATTAAAAAAAAAGAAAAAGGAAAAAAAAAGAGTAAATCTATCTGTTACACGCCAGTGTCATGTGTATGAGAGGTGGTTAGAAGTTAGAGGAATTATTAGTCTAGAGCTCATGTTCAATTGTTCTTTCTTATATCAGAACAACATGAGCAATATCTACTTTTTTAGCAAATGTATGACCTGCGGTGTTCTAGGAAGATTCTGTTTTCTGTAGAAAGCAATTACAACTTCTCCAGCATAAGCTCATGTCTTACTGTAGCAAGTTATCTAAGGAATGCATGCAGAGAAATTTATGGAGGTGAGATTAAGGAAAGATGTAAAAATTATTATAATGACCACATAACATATTCCTCTCCTCAATCACATAGTGCTGGTGCAGAAAGTAAAAGTTTGAAAACTGTTGTAGCAAGAGAAATATAACTAAGATGTACACATACAGGAGATTACTTTAGAAGAACTAATACAACTACAGCAGTGTTGTGAAGAGGTTTGTTTATATTTTCCTATAAAGGGCAAGAGTAAAAGAATGCCAAGAGTGTCAGAGAAGAAAAGATTTAAAATAAATGCCACTGTCAGCCAACTCATGGCTCCCTTGGACCAGTAACTGATTTGAATTACCTCGTTAGGGAACACATTTGGTAAGGAATGGCACCCAAACCAGAGTGCGTAGCACTTGCTCTTCTCTTGCTGTTTACTCAGCATGCTTAATGTCCAGTTCTGCATGCTTACAAAACTTTGGGTGTGAATATCAGAAATTCTCAGTAAGCTTCTAAACCCAGTTTGAAGGATGTGATTTTGTTGATCTTGCTTAGCGCAATTGCTACGAGAGTCAATGAGAGAGGTTAAGGAGAGACTTCTGTACAGGTCATGACTTAAGGTTTACCCTGGCTATTTTGAGGAGGGAGGATTATGAAAATCAACTGGTAGAATATGGCAGTGGTGGTATTAGTAAGGGTTTGACCCTTGCAGTCAGGCAGAAGCAGTTTTTTAGCTAAAACAGTATTATAAGAACACTGGAAATGCTCTTTTACTCTGGACTGAGGCTAAATGCTAGGATGTGTGTATCAAAGGCAAATATTTGAAAGCCAGAAAACTGCATAGAAAGGGTGATGAATATAGTTATGCTTTATGACCCAAACTGAAGGTTAATTCGAACCTCAGGCCTTTTTTCTTGGTTTTTGTTTTTTTTTTTTCCCTTTTTTGTGGTCATTTTCTTGATAAACAGCTGAACTGAACCTGACAGTTTTAGCACAGATATTTCCTTTTGTCTATTCAGAGATGGCTGACATAACTAATGTTTACTACAGGCTAGGAACAGTCACCAAAGGATTTGTAAGCATTAGATCCTGTAAAAGACCTAAGTGCCAAAAAAGTTGTGGATCCCTGAGCCAGATACATTTTTCTGCAGTGCATGAGACTGAAACCTCTGCCTCCTTGTGTTGATGAATAGCTGCCTCATGTAGTTCAGGAGGGAGCTGCTGAGGCTGTGTGTGGGTTTTTACTTCTCACCCAAGTCCTTGAGCTCTTCTGAAAGTAGGTATTTTTCCCACTTGAAGAACTGAGTTTGCTTAACCTTAGAAATAAGGCCCAGAGAGAAGAGGTGTCTAGTGATCAGTGTTTAGGATTCAATTTCCTTTTCTCCCTCCAAGAGAATGCTCATCACTCAGCTGTTAGATGTGGTGTGCATGCACTACTTAACCTTCCTCTTGATGCCTTCACCTATAGAAAACAGTCAGTTACACTGAGCTAAAGAGACTGGAAGTAGCACGAGTTTGTTGCTTAGTTGGTAGACCAGTTGCCTGGAGATAGATTTAAATCATCTCTGGCAGAGGAAGCAGTAAAAACTAGTGTGCTGTACAGCAAGCAGTATTAATTTCCAAGTTTTTAAAACAGCTCTATCTGTGTATCAAGAGGAATCTGATATTCTGTGCCTGTCATAACAAGCCTTGTAAGGGATTTAGATTTCCAGGTCCTGTTGTCTGGAAACCAGTCAATTGAAGTCTGAACTGAGTACCTGAATGCTAGTTCCATTAAACTGAAAATGAAAACTGCTGAAACACACAACTCTGGAATGCTGGTGCCTTGGGAACTTTAAAACAGTTAACAAAATGTATTCCACATCTGGCAGCAACAGGGTAGAAGTTTCCAGGCCTTTTTTTTTTTTTTTTCCCTGTAAGTGGAATCCAAACACAATAGATATCATTGTTCCAGGTCTTAACATCTGTTTCTGCACTCTGATGGACATTGATGAAACTTCTTTTTACTTCTGATGTGCAAAGTCAGAGCCTTTAAACACTGCAGTGTATTGGGCATGATGATTGTCCTTGGTGCACAGGAAACATGAGTTTGACTAACACTGTTTCTGGAGAAGACTGCTGTGGTTCAGATCTGTATAGATCATACAGCATCACTGAGAGGTGACTGGAAAGCTTTTACTTTGATAAATGCTCCAGCCTGTTTCATAATTAGTTTTGCAAAATAGGTTGCAAAATAGTCTTTTAGACTGATAAAAGACTGGTAGTCTTTTTAGACTTATATTTATGTACAATTATAACCAGATAATAAATGAAATTTTGTTAACTCTAAAGGCCAAATCTTCACCTATTCACAAAGTGCATGTGTAACAGACCCTTTTCAATCTGCAGCACAGCGGTTCACAAAACAAATACCCATCCAAGTTTTAGTCATGCCTCTATGTTATTTCAATGACAACAATTTTTATATAAAGGGGTCCAAAGCTGACATGGAAAACTGTATTAAAACTAGGCTGTTTCTTCTTTTTCTGCTTCTTGCTTCTCATCATTCTGAAGTGTTCCAGAGGCTGCTGTTTCATCAACACTAGGGTATTCATTTGTTGCGTTGCTTGGTGGAACTGTGGTTGGAGGAATGTTTTCTTCGTTAGGTACCTGAACATACTCTGCATTGGATTGTTTCTGAGCCATTTCTCTGCAGGAAGACAGGATGAAGTGTGATTTCACATGTTGAAATCCCATCTACACTAGATTCTTTCAAAAGAATGAGTCTTTGTGGTTTTGTTGTCTTAAAGTAACCCCCATATTATTATGATTGTTCCAAGAGACATAAAAAGGCTACAACATCACTGATGCTAAGAGAGAAAGAGTGACAATGTGTTAGATAATGAGACTGATTTGCGTCATTGCTTAAGTGATCCTGTTAGAATGAACTGGATTTTAGTATATTTAAATGCTACACCAGGAAAGCAGAATAGGAAACTGAGTGCTGGCAAACAGTCTGAGGAGAGGTTGCAGAACACACTGCTTGGTGTGAGCTTTCTGTGAAATTCCATGCAGATCCCATGTCCCATTAAGTGTATAAAAATAGAGTGCAGTCAAAAAAAGAGTTATGAAAAAGCTAAAATCTAGAGAAAGATTTTTAGCAACAGGTATAGATTCCATTTATCTCATCGAAATAATAAACCAAGCCCTGATATTTAAGCATTTTCACATGTAAAAAAGATCAGATGCTAGTGGGTTAGTTTAATGAAGTGAGATTTATTAGGATCTGAGCACACAGTTAGATGTTAATGTACATCAGTTGAAAGCAGAAATCAGGTGTGTGAGTGACACGCCATTGGTGTGGATTAGCGGAATTCTGCATCAGGAGGTCTTAGACCTGTGCTACAGGGAAGGGTCCAGATGACAAATACATTTTTTTTCTGTCCTCAGCTGTATGTATTCATTTAGCATTTAACATCATTCTGTTGCCTAAACCTTGTATCTCTTGCCATTTGAGACACCTTAGAGCACCCCAAGCATGTGTCCTGTAATTTCAAATAGCACTGAATTGCGCCCGCTGTGTTTAAATCCAGTAATGCACAATCCAGTACATTTGCTGTGGCAACCTTTAGCTTCTGTTCCTTTCTTTACTTCCTCCACCTGCCATTAGCAGTCACCATTAACTTTTAAATATTAAAAACTGTTTTTTCCAACTTGCCACATTTTGTTTGCAGGGTTTAAAAAACATTTTACTAGTTTAGATACTGCTAAGTGGTAGCTGCCTATAAATATATGGAAGAGGGTAGTGGCAATGTCTCTTACAAGAGCAACAGCTTAAAAGTCACACAAAAGCAAATATTTTCACTCTGGAAGTTTTCCCAAAACCTGCATTATTGACCCTTCAAAAATGATTAGAGTAATTATATTTTACCTCAGTGCTGAATTATTAGCAGTGCTTTACAGAAATAATTGTCTTAAAATGAAGCAAACAAAACTCTTACTGCATCTCGTTACTTGGTGTCTTCTTAGTCTTTTTTGCCTTCTTGCTTAAGACCCAAACAATAATGCAAATGATAGCAGCTGCAAGAACTGCTCCAATTAATGCTCCAGCAACAATGCCACCATCTGAATCTGCAAAGAAGAAAGGATTACTTGATATATAAATACTTTTAAAAAAAGTATTACTAGCAAAATCCCATGGAAATTTAGAGGAGCCTTTAGTGGAAAGAAGGCATTGAATTCAGAGAACTGATCAACTGACTGACAGCTGGATTTCCAGGAGGGAAGCCAAAGATGCGCTAGGAAAGAGAAATGTGCTTTTATGACCTTTGCTGCCTCCTGTTTTGTTGCTAAGCTCCCTGCCCCAGCAAACCTGATGTTTATGCCTGCTCTAAATTCAGTGTCTGTTGGTTCTCAGTAAAGGCTCTGCAGTCAGACTGAGGTTCAGCTCCTGCTCCCAGTATGAAATCATTTGTCCAGGTCAGTATAAATTCTGGGCATACCTGGATGAAAACTCCAGAGGGCTCCAAAGCCCATTCTGTTCTTACTTGAAAAAAAATCTATACTTTAAAGTTGTCACAGCATTTTCCTGCAAACTGTGTATGTCTTACATCGGCTATGGGATTACTTTCATGCATGAAACTTACAGTTCGTAGTTAGGTCAAGCTCACAGGTACTGTTCCCCAGGATGTTACTGGCTACGCACCGGTAATACCCAGTTTCAAAGGTGGTGAGATTGCCAATGTAAAGAATGCCAGTGTTTGGATCTGTGACAAACAGAGAGCAGAGACTGATTACTGTTTATGTACTGTAGAGGCCAACCATTTTCTTTAGTTGGTCTTACTAAGAGCTATTAAGAAATTAGAAACAGGGTTCTCTGATTATGCATTCATTTGGGGAGTTTCATATTCTTTAAATAAGAAGCATTTACCTTCCTTGAAAATTACTAGAGTAGCTTCTGTAGGCGTGTATTAGAACATGGGAAATAGGCCCTTACTCTGTAATAGACTCTGTCTGCCTGATGTTTTACCCGCACTACTATTGTCAGTGTAACTTCACAGATGAAAATGCCACAGGAACTGAAGACCTTCAGGGTGGAAGTCTTAGCACCTGAATAACAAATAGACTATTCTAAGTTGACTTAAATTTCTGAGGGAAGGGAAATGGAAATGGCATAAACATTTCCCCCATTTTAGCAATTTAAAATAATGGCATAGGCAAGACTTTAACATGCCATGAAATTCGTGTTAAATAGAAAGAAGCTCTGTGTTTGTGACAGCTATCAGTTGATTTGAATTAAGCAAAAATAATGGTTTTATGACATTGACCATCAGAAGAGGATAAGGTTTAACTGCTATGTGTAATACGTAGTGTTAGAAATGACTGGTGCTAAGGAACTCCACATTTTGAACATGGTATAGTGGTTGTGTCTTACGTACTGAGCTGTTCAGTCACAGGCTTTAGGGTATTGTCAGATACTTTGTACCAGCGGTAGGTAGGGTGAGGCAATCCTTCCTCACATCTGCATAAGAGGTAGACTAGATGGCCTTTTTCAGGAGTTCCTTCTATTTTGCAGAAAGGTGTTGATGGTTTGACTGTAAAATAACAACAAGGAGAACAGACACATCATGGGTATGTACCAAGGGGCAAGAGAGGGGTATGAGTATATACTGAGAGGAAGTTAGTTCTGGTATTGTACATGTAAAATTGAATTCCATCTACAGGTTCCCATCCAAGAGCAGAGTTCATAGATCTGACCAAAGGCTCTCCCATGACCATTTGAGTATTATTAAGTATATATACATATATACATGGCCTAAGATACCTTTTAATAGATAGGCAAATGATATTGGAATCACATTCTTATATTGGCTTTGATTTGTCACTCTGATTAGGTATGAATTCTCAATACAAAAGCAATTATTAGAATAGGTTAGTACAAACTTTTATCTTACTAAGAAGTAACATATCTACTGCTTTTCATCCTTTCTGTCCTGTTCGTGGTTGAACTATTGCTTTCTTCCATCCAAAACAGACTTTGTACTACTTCCACCCAACCTGTACTAAGTTTCTAGAGTTTCTGGGAATTGGGGTGAGCCAGATCCCTTGGGCTGTAATGCTGCCTCCCCCTAGATTTACACAATTCACCATGACCAACATTAGGTAAAATGAGTGAAATTTTGGTCTTTGCTGGGGCTGGCTGTAATCATAGAATCACAGAATCATAGAATAATCTGGGTATCTAGATCAGGTTGCCCAGAGCCACATCCAGCCTGGCCTTGAACGTCTCCCTGGATGGTGCATCCACCACCTCTCTGGGCAACCTGTTCCAGTATTTTACCACCCTCGTTGTAAAGAATTTTTCCTCACATCCTGCTAGAATCTCCGCTCTTTTAGTTTAAAACCATCACCCCTTGTTCTGTTGCAACAGGCGCTGCTAAAAAGTCTCTCCCAATCTTTCTTACAGGCCCCTTTTAAGAACAGAAAGGCAATAAGGTCTCCCCAGAGTCTCCTTTTCTCCAGGCTGAACAACCCCAACTCTCTCAGCCATTCCTCATAGGAGAAATAAGTTGTCACTCCCAGCTGAAAGGGCTTTTTATTTTAATCAAAGTTAATATCACTTTGTTTTCCAATATGAAGAATGTAGTGAAGCTGTGTAATTCCAGCTACCTGCTTACCTGATCACATGAGGTAGCATTTTGAGAGCACAAAGTGAATCTGAAGTGAATTCCACTTGTGGCATAATGGGATTTTACTGTAGGTCAAGCAAGGGGAGCTGCAGAGGGATTATCAAGTCTGCTTTGTCTGGAAGCTAGAGGGCACCCCAGGCTCTGCCTGCTTCCAGAGCCCTTGGAAAATCTCTGCATCAATGCATCTGTGAGCCCCTTCTCTGCATCATGGGCCTTGTTTATCACAGTTCTGTTATTCCCTCTGGTCCTAAGTATATTGAGCTGTGAATTCAGTGTTTCATAAGGGAGGAAAAGGACAGTACAACAATAGAGAGGAGAGGTGCTTACCCAGCACATTGACAATCACGGATTTTTGACTCTGTCCAGCATCACCCTGTGGGCTGAAAACTTCACAGGTGTAAGAACCAGTGTCTGAGGGCTGCATGTTGGAGATTGTTATTGATGCATTCCCTGGACCTGTTGCAGCTGTTATCCTGTTCTTAAACTCTCCATAGGAGTAAGACTGGCCTTCTGAATAATAGTAGATCTGTGATAAAGAATCAATTGTTAGTCTGATAACAAGAGATATTCCTGCTGCTTTGTTTGGTGCTCATAACTGGAATACAGTTGATTTCTGATTAAGCTCTTAATGTTACCCCCTTTCTGATTAAGCTCTTAATGTTACCCCCTTTTTTGCTCCCTCCCACAAGAAAGCAGACAGGAAAATGTGGTACATTTTTGTTTCTAGTGGTTTTTAAAAGACAACCTTTTCAGAAATGGGATTTTGTAATCGTGTAAATGGACAGTAGGTAGCTGTTTGTGGATACTCCAGTCACAGACTGATGCATTTGCAAAAAGAAAGGTGAGACCATTGACTGTTCTATGACAATTCTGTGAATAAATGCCAAGTCATGCACAATGAGTAGCAGTACTAATTGCAGCATGGATAATTTGTGATATTATTAATAAGCGGCGCAGTAGAAGATTGTGACAAGAATAGACCTCTCATTGAAAAAAGTGAGTGGCTGCAGAGCTTTCCAAATACAGAAGCTAGCAAACAGAACTGAAATGAATCCACAGGACATAGGTCTGAGCAAACAAGGTATCTGATCTGTCAGCAGTAAATTTGGAAGCAATAAAAACACAGTCCAAGAACACCAGCAGATTCATCACACATGCAATTAGAGCAATGATACTGTTCTCCTTGTTTGTGTAATCAGGGTCAGAGACAGTGTCATGGACTATTTTGGGGTTTTGAGTATATACCATAGGTGGAAGTCAAGAATACTTGTTGGCCTCAGTGCTTGGAGAGGCAGTTATGTGGGATCAATAATCCCCCTTTTACTGAACAGTAAAAAATGTTTTGCAGAATTATAGATGTAGTAAGGACAAATGTCTATCAGGAATGTAAGATTTCCTTCCAAGCAAAAATTTGCTATCTAATGTTGACTGATTTCACTGACTTCATTAGCATCAATTGTAATTAACAGCACTATGCAAGTAGAATTGGCCTCACAAGTTTATAAGCCCAAACCTGTTGTCTGTTAACTGAGAGGTTGCATTGTGCTCTTTGTGGAGCCTCTTTGGTAGCCTGAGGCTTGAGCCTTAAGTCTATTTAAGAATTAGTGTCAGATTTCCTTTTTAGTCAAAGTTCCCTGCCTTTAGGGATGCTGCAGGCAAGAATTATAATTTTCTTTACTTTGCAGAGCAACTGATTGCATTTTGAGTTAAGAGTATTTTATTCTTAATTCTATTTATCCACCCTGATACGGTGTTGACTGAAGTCTTTAAGCAAAGTTATCTGAAAGCCTTTATTAGCTTAAGGCGAGCTACACCCCAAAACTGCCAGAGCATAGCTGGTTTATGCAATGATAACGCTTTGAAATGAAGGTCAGAACCCAGACTGCACAGCACCGGCAGCTCCAGTACTGCAGCTTGGCCCCAGCTCAAATGCAGTTTTGCCAGACTCTATCTTTCCCTGCCCCAGGACTATAAACACCAGGTACAATTGATGCAGGGCTCTGAATGCCAAAGCTACACTACTGCCTCTCCAACATGTGGGAAACTGAGGGTTGTACTGAGGAGCCGTAAGAGGTGCAGTGTGAGCACACTGGTAGACTAGGTTGGAAAGTGTGCAGAACAGCTGGATAGACTCTGGATAGACAGTTCCCATTGTCTGCGTGCAATGTCATCAGTTTTGAGACTGATTTTATGCTTTGCAAATGTCTATTTGCAAAATATTGCACCTCTGTTGCAAAACTAGAGTCTGATAGACACACTTGTATTCCCAAGGAAGAAAAGTGCTCAGAGTAAGGGGTTTCGTTTAAGCAAATCACATGTCAAAAAACTGATCTACCTGTAATTACAAAAACACACTGGCCACGCTTGTCTCATTCTACATTTATCCAAGTATGAGCAGTGATACACTATTGCTTGCAAGAGTCCAAAGTTACAAGAACTGTGACTTCTGATTTCAGGTTCCTCTTAAGCTGACATTCCTATATAGATCTCAACAGTACCTGGCTGGATTTGCATCTCCTCTCAATCAATTGCATCTGTTTGAGTGGGGTAGAGAAAGAGCTTCTTCCATCAGCTCTTCACACTAATGTAAAATAAAGTTGTGCAATGACTTAAATGAAGTAATATGTTACTTGCATGAGAGGAGAGGGAGGCCCATTATATCCTACTAAAAGGCCTGATTACTGGAAAAGGGGGATAAATACTGCATGGTCTACCTTAGAGTGATCTGGGATTTATGTGAGAGTAAGCAATAGCACTGAGTGCTAGCTTAGCTATAGCACGGGTTCCTGGGAAGTAAGACTGGCACTACAAGTCTTGAATGCAGTCAGGGCATGCCATTAACATTAGGGAAGAGCAAGTGGTCCTTGGTATATTTAATCTGAAGTCAGGGTGAATTATTTGTCTAAGCCCTCATACAATACAGTGAAAAATGCATCCACTGTGTTCCCTCTTCCTGTCTGAATGCGTGCAGAGAAAATACTTTGTGTACACTGTTAAATCTGAAGCAGGTGTCAGCACAGCAGAGTATATTTGTCCTCTACATGGATTTAAACAGAATCTTTCTGTTTTGGGTTTTGTTTTGTGTTTGTTTTTTTTTTTTCTCCCAGCTATGAACGTAAATGCAGTGGAACATCTAAAGGAAACACCTTCAGCTCCTCTGCAGGCTCCTGCCTGTTCTTCTGCTCCTGTGTGATGTTTATCTCACTAGCTCTGGAGTTTGTTGCCTGAAGGAAGGTGCTAAACACCAAAAAGGCTGAGTAATGTTGTGATTAATTACTGAGTGTATATCTTGTCCTGGAGGTATGATTGGATTGTGTACACAGGAAATTTCATGGAAGAGGAATATGTTTCAGTTAACTGGCTGTGAGTTCATAGCCCATTCTAAACAATACACTCAAAATGGATATTTTAAACCCTTTTTCAAAGTGCTTTTATGCTGTCCCTGAAAGCTTATGTTTGTGGCTTTCAAAAAGCTGAAATGAAAATCATTGCAAAAATGTTTCTGTTCCATTTCGACAGTAAATACTTGTTTTCTGTTGAAGATATACAAGATTGGGGGGGGGGGGGGGGCAACTGACAGCTAATATTCCCTCCTACAGATACACATCTCATTGACATTTCTTTCCATTTCACCTAAAATGTTCCTAAAGTGTCTGTATGGGAGAGCTGTAAATTTAGTCAATGGCAGCCTTTTCCTGGAAGCCTTTTTATTTTAATGTGATAAATAGATTTAAAGTGCAACATTTTGAATGTAAAAAAAAAAAAAAAAAAAAAAAGTAAGAGATCTGCTGTGCTTCTGTTGAAAAAAAAATAAGCTTTTTATGTCCTCAAGCAAATCATGAGCAGCTCTGGTGAAGTTGATGATTTACCAGTGTAAAAAACAATACTGAGGGTGCAGTAATGGTTGCTGTGTCTCCTTACCAGTTAGTTTGCTCAGGCAAATTTTTATGTAATGGTGTTTTTTTACATTTCATGGGAGCAGCTGCCTGAGATGACTAATGAAACAACTGACAGAGTGGAGATTATCACTCCTCAAAATGCTGTCCCTAATAACTCCATCTGAAACACCAGTCTCTGTAAAACAGCTGAATTCCCCAGAAGGTGTCCCCCTGACCTTCAAAAGGACTGTGGTTCTGTTGGGTGTGCAGCCTGTGGGCCTGGCAGTGCCTAAAGCCACTAATGTCAGTGGACATCTTCCTCAGCTTTCTCGGGCAGTGGTATAGTTTTCTATGTATTTCCACAGTCACAGTTTCTGCTGCAACCAAGAAAAGGATTTGGGCTTGTCGACTCCTAAGGCAGTTGAGGACAATTATTCGAGTACCCATTTGTAACCTGAGTTACAATCAAGACAGGGAATTGGGAATGATCATACTTGTTTCAAAGACAATCTCAGTAATCTCTATGTGCTCCAGATGCTGGAGACAAGATTGTTTGTATCCCCAGTTCTGAAAGATCTGGTACATGAAATCACATGTCCTTTCCTTTTCCTTTAGCCTGACCTGTGGGAGGGCTGCTCTTCTTCCAGTGTGGTGGTGAGAAGAGTATTTGCCTGCAGAGGAAGCAGCTGGCAAAGCTGAGGCTGAGTTGAGGATTTCCAAAGGCTGCCAGATGCTTGGCAGAGAGTGAGGGGCCTACCTACAGTTTTCTTTATACAGCTTCTATAGAAAGATCTTCCTCAGGGTGTGGAGGGGGTGTGTGAAAAAGCAGGCAGTAAATTAGAAGAAACATGCCTCCATCTGTTCCTTTCTTCTTGGGGCAGGACAAATACAAACCAGAATTTACATAATATGTGATGCAGTGACATCAGGAGTAGGGGGTGGGAGGAATATTGCTGTACAATGCTCAGTACATCTGGATATCAAAACTGTAAGATGAGATGTACTTGAAGATGTGTTACAAACATCTCTCTTCATCTCCACAGAAGTCTTGATTTCCTAACTGAGGGGCAGTTTCAGGACATGCTTTCCTTTCTAGTACCTTCTTCCCTTCCACAGGCCCTTCTCACTTTCCCCCATGAGCAGATGCAAAGCTACACCATCCTATTTGATGATGTTTCTCTAGGCTGATGTGTTCAGCACCCAATTCACAGTCTTTGCCAGGGGAGCTCAGGCATTCAGAAGGACCTGTCACTGGGGTGTTCTATAATTTTCTGTTGACATTCTCAAGCTACTAGAGAAAGAACTGTTAAAAGTCTCTTTCTTGACGATAAACGCAAGGGAGAATATTAACAACTTCACTGCTTTTATCTCCTTTTGAATTCTGAGTACAGACGGAATTTGTAAAATAACAAGGGAAAAAAATGTTCATCACTCCTTTAAGCATCTTGCCATCTAATTAGAGAACAAATGCCACACACTCAGAGTGTTAATTAAAGCCCAAGGCTCAGTTTCTGAACTCAGCTAGATAAGAAAGCAAATGCATTGGTTTCTTTGACATGTGTCATGTGACTGAGTCTGGCCCCAAATGCCTTTTTTCATCCACAGCTTCTTTTCACACAAATTTTGTCAAAACTCTGATCTGCCAGAC